GCCCTATAGGATAGCTGAGTCAAGAATCAACTCAATGACAGTTTGGGGTTGGGTTTTGAATATAATCCCAAGATCTTTAGGAAAAGCAATGAAGTACTTACACACACATACATGTTTCTGTATCTGCTATGTATCTAGATGGATACCCCCAAAATTTAACTGGGTGACGGAGGTAGAGATCTGCCCTTTGATTTTTGTGATGTTGAACCACGACTCTTATCTATTCTAAAAATCAACTTTAAGAAAATGACTCAAAATCCCACTGATGAGCAAGGTGTGGACACTGGCACTTTGACACCCTACTGCTGGGAGAAATGTCAACGGGCCCGGTCTTCTCGGAGAGGCACGCCGCAGCACATTTTCAATCCCAATGACTCTTGCGAAGAGAAGAGTCGGCAAAAATTGTGAGACCTCCACACCACTTGCAAAAAACATGAGGGAGGTCTTCTAGATGGTCTTCTGTCCACACAGATTCAGAGAAATGGGCAAATCACAAAACATCAGGTATTCTTCTCCATGTGAAAAGGACCTTGATGCAAGGCTACTAAAGAAGAAAATGGTAACAGTGGATTCCTGTTACGTTTTTTTGAGGATTCGTTGTGGGGTGGGGAAGACACTGGTGTGAGGAGGCTGATTATCAGTATTGACAGCTATAGCTCTGAAACATGCAAATATGAAGAGGTTTCCTGGTGGCAGATCTGTCCGTGAAGTTCCTGTGAGAATCATCTTTATCAGTGGTCCCCAAGGAGGTGGGGTTAAGGAAGTTTGGCAAACTTGCTGCCCCTGAAGCATGTCCTTTTCCAACACCACCTAGCTCCAGGTGAGCAGCTCTGTCCATACTGACCCTGACCTAGGCTCTGATTTACATCCGTAGGGCCACTGCACAAACCCGTCCTATTGAGAACACCCCATCTTCCTGGGAGCAAATCACTAGTGTTTGGTTAGCTTGCTAAAACGCCAAAACGGGCAGGGATTGGATGTGGATCACTGGTCAGAGTTTGCCAGTTCTAAGGAATGAACTGTTTCCTTTTAAGCAGCAATCAGCCTGGTTCTATTCAGAACAGGGTTCGCTGATAGGAAAGGCACTAAAAGTAAATGTATGACCAAATGAAACCAAAACCAAACTTACTGCCATCAATTCTGACCCATAACGACCTGAACAGGACAGAGTCGAACTGCCCCCGGGGCTTTCCAAAGCTGTAAATCTTTACAAGAGAAAAAAGTCTCATCTTTCTCCTGTGGGGATACTGGTAGGTTTGAACAGCTGACCTTGTGGTCAGCAGGTCCTCCACCCCCCACGACCCACTACATTCACTAGGGCTCCTCCAAATAAAGATGTTTTTATTTACCCTCAAGCAAAGTGTGCTTTTTTTCCCCTTAGCTTCTAAATGCGAGTGGGAGGGGCACA